TATGCTGATAACAGGTGAAAACCTTTGTCTTTTGAAGAAGGAGAACATGTCTTTCTTAAAATTTCTCCTACCACAGGTGTAGGCAAAACCCTCAAAGTTAAAAAATTGAGTCCTAGGTATATTGGTCCTTTTCAAATACTCCGAAAACAAGGCCAATTGCTTACCAACTTGCCTTTCTGCCTCATCTTTCCAATCTCCAAAGTGTTTTTCATGTTTCTCAACTTAGAAAGTATGTCCCAGATCCTTCTCACATTCTCGATATAGACTCAGTACAAGTTAAAGAGAATCTGACTATTAGTACAAGGCCAGCTCAAATTCTTGACAAAAATTCTGAAGTAACTGAGAAATAGGGTGATTCCGTTAATTAAAGTATGTTGGGAAGGACTTTCACCACAGGAAGCCACATGGGAAAAAGAATAAGAGTTACGACAGAGTTATCCAAAATATTTTTTAGAAGGTATGTCTAAATTTTGAGAGCAAAATTTTATTTAGGAGAAGCGAAATGTAATAACCGAATAAAATAAAATAAAATGATAGTAATAATAATCAAAGTAATAATATATAAAATAATAATAATGATAATAATAATATTGATAATAATGATAATAATAGATAAATAAATTATTACTATTATTATTATATTTACTATAAATAAATAAATTATATAAATAAATAAATTATAATTATTAATAAATAAGTAAATAAATAGATTTTATTTATGTTACATGTGTGACTACATAAAATTATAAGGGCAACATTAAATATAGTATATGATAAGTCTTACGATGAATACTGTTAACTTATAAATTTAAATAACATATGGTAAATATAATATTTAAATCTTAACCTGTAAATATAAAAATACATTATAAATATATATTATATCACTAAGTGTAAATAATAACTAATATGACTATTAATATGAGACATTGATTAGTTAATACAATATTTAACTGAATGATAGATAAATTATAATAGATATGTGTTGTTTTATTTAATAATTTAATATTATAACAACAGTTAATAAAATCATATGTGCTTAAAATCATAACGGAAATAAACTATACCAGTGAAAAATATTAATAATGATCAATAAATATATATTAAATTATTTTCTTAAATTTTTTAATCACAGTAAATTATTTCTAATTAAATATTTACAAAACACCCAAAACTATTAATTAAAAATAATAACAATACTATAATTATTTTATAAGAATTAAATGAATATTATTTATTATTATAATGAATTAATATATAAAATAACACACACGCACACACATATATATATATATATATATTTATATGGCAAGGAGGGGGCCACATGGAACACCCCTCCAAAGTCGCAATTGCCATGTTTTAATTAATGTGATGTAAGGTAAATGATGTAGTTACAGTGATGTAAAAAAAAGGAAAGAAAGAAAAATGAAAAAGAAAGAAAGGGGTGATTCAACACCTAGACAAATTTCATTTGCATAAGGAGTATTAGAAAATTTACGGAGAAGAACGTAATACGTAGGCGAAGAAGACGAAGAGATAATAGAAAAAAGAAGAAGGTAATATTGAGATAGTAAAACTTTCTCTCTTTTTTCCTCCTTCCAGTTATATTCTTTTCATTTATTTGTAAAAATTTGTAATGCTGTTATTCTGTCAAAATATTTTTTTAATTTCTTCTCTTATTTAATATTATTTGCATCTATAGTCCTACCTTAATCTTTCTTTTAATTTTATTCTACCTCTCATGTTATTGTGATTTTCATGAAATTTTAAATTTTCCTTAGCAGTAAGATACAATAAATTATTTGGTACCAAATAAATATTAAGAGGATGTGTAAATTTTAACTGTATGTTACTACTGTGAACTGACCCTCAAAAGTTTGAGATCAGATAGTTAGGGCAAGTGACGTCTTATCATGGCTTGAGCTCTGCCATATCATAACTTTTCACAAGTAGGAGACCCACAAAAATGGGAATTAAATTGGCTTCAGTTAAATATTACACAATTTGTTATTATTATTTATTATTTATTTTATTATTTCAGTTATGAAATAAACTTGGGAGATTGATATTTTCCATTATTATGGCTGGAAATGGTTATAGTTTAAACATCTCAATATTACTGAGAATTATCACATGTGTTTATTTTGTGCTAACCTTTCCAAAAAATCATCATGCCTAACTTATCTTTTTATGGAGAAGGATGGACTGTGAATATTTATTTTTATGACGATTGTTGAGAATTTTACATAATAGTTGGAAACCAAGGAGTAGCAGCCATATTCCATGCAGGCAGTGTGGAGTCCTACACCTATAGCTAGACTAGAATGAGAAGTATGTAGAGTAAACATTGTAACCTGATGTAGTTAGGAATTTAATATATGTGTGGAACTGATGTAAAATATTTAAAGTGTAAAATATTTGTACTGACTTCCATCTATGTATAAACAATGAAGGATGTTAGTATTCCGAGTTGTTCTTTCTAGATTTATTTTCTCATCTATTTTTATTTGTTTATTATTATTTATAAATATATTTAAATATTTAAAGGATATTACATCACTCAATTTGGATCTCTCTAGCTCATATTATGACCATTTTACTACAACATATTCCTGCCTAATGAATATGACAACACAACTATCTTAACTTCATGACCAAATTAATTTGCACAAACATTAAAATTGAATTTTGACTTCTACATAAAAGTTTTATCTTAGAGTCTTATCTTTTCAAAATACTTAAGAATGAGCCAAACTGATATCTATAACTCCAGATATGGCCGAATTTTTGAAGCAGGTTCAAAATTTGTAATAGCACTGCCCCAAGGACTTTAGGCACGATTTACAGCCCATTAACAACCAAATCAGATCTCAACCATTACATGAAAGTTGTAGGATACTTCTAAGCTTTTCAAAACACTAAAGTATGTTCAAATCCAAGGTCTACAACTCAAGATGTTATAGACAATGTTCAATAAAAAAAATCACTGTTACAATTCTGCTTTCCCTTCTTTTAACACAAACGAAGAACTCCATTTTTCTTTGCAAAAAAGATTATACAATCATCTCCCAAGATCATTTCAACACTTAACCCATGTTTCCTCATATCATAAACATATAAACCATCGCTAGACTCAACCTTTAACCTACATCATGCCATTTATCATGAAAATCTAAAGAAAGTTCTTGTCTTTCTTACCTAGAAGCTTCAGTCAAGCAAGACAAGTATCCAAGCTTTTAACAATGGAGGAGTGTCACTCTCAACACCAAAACCAGCAATGAAAACACCCCAAGATGGGGTTCTTCTCCCTAAAACTCTAGACTTTAGGTTGTTTTCATGGTGGGTTGATGAAAGATTAATATTGGTGACTGTTTTTTTGCTAGTTTCATGGAGAAAATATAAAACCTTAAGAGAAGAGGCAAGAGACTGCTGTCGTATTAGGATTAATATTTTGTATTAATACTTTCCTTTAGTTATATTAGTTTCCTCTTTCTATTGCCCATTATTAGGCTTTATATAGTATGAGCCTCTTATATGGGTCCATAACAATTGTTATGCAAAGAAAAAAAATCCATTATCAATTTGTTTTTTATATAAGTATCAATTTTTTTACCTAGTGAACAGTTAAATGAAGATCAATAATAATGTGAAGAAAGAAAATTAAAAGGAGAGAATAAAGGTACGTTGAGATTGGTAATTTATAGTTAATTTAGTGTGAAAATGTTGTTGCAGGGTGAGGGTGAAATAGAGCAAAAAGGAGCATTGTTGTTAAAAACTAGTATAAAAATGTAAAAACTTACGTTTTTACTGAAGTCCGTGTTAAAAAGCAAGTAAAACCGTTTCTTAGTAAAAATGGATAAAAATGCCGCGTAAACACATAAAAATGATAAAAATATAAGTTTTTATGTTTTTACTTAAACTAAAAAATTGAACCGGGTCAACTTTTAACCCGTGACCCAGTTTTATTTTTAAAAAAATAATCCTATTTCCCATTTTCCCCTAATGAAAATGCACAACATCTTCTTCTAGCTATCTAAAAAAAAGGCTGAACTATAATAATTAAGTATTTTTAAACTCTTTTGTGTTTTTGAACTTATATCTTATATAATCATGTCATATGTGACTTATATCTTTTAAATATGAAATTGTCCCTTTAATTTTAAGTAATGACTTATGTGATATTTACCTTTTGACCACCCCTTTCTGTGTTTATGTAGAAATTCAATTTTGACAATATTAAAAGGTAGAGTTAATGAAAGGAGGTTGGGGCTAAGGAATTAAACTTTCAAATGGTTGGGATTGGAGTATTTTTAATGCGGGAGGGGTGAATAGGGAAGGAGGATTTTGTCTTTTTCAATCTTATCTATTTGATGCATACTTTATCTTGAACAATTAATGCACCAAAATCTTAATGGTAAAACTCAATCAATAAAATAACCTAAATTAAAAGAGAAAATATATATGGAATTAAAAAAAATATACATTATTAGATGAAGAAATAAATTTTAAATTAGAAAAACACGTGTAAAATTTTTAAAGAACAAAGCAATGTGCTAATTAAAGAAGGATAATAATAAAAGAATTAAATTACTATTAAATAAATTGACTCAAATTTAAGAGGTGAAGTGAATTAAATATAACTTCTAGTGGCAAGTGGAATTGGTCTGATTTAAATATTTTGTGTTATGTATTCAATTCGCATAGTTATATATATATAAAAAAAAAACTTCCAACCTTTTGAAAAATATAGATGACTTAAATCATGTTACTATTGACACTAATGATACAATTAAGAATGATGTTACTAATATACAATTATCTCTTATATATGATTTCATTACTCCTTTATTTATGTTATAATCTTATATATTAACATTTTTTGTATTAGATATACCGAAGGAGAATAAGAATTTTTCCTCATATATCTTCTCTATTTTGTTGTCTTCATGTATCTCCCGCATCTCTCCTCTTAATTTTATAACACAGCCTAATTATTGTACATGATTGGTTGTGTCTACAGAAGTAACTACACAGACACTCTCTTCTATTCTATGCAATGTGGTGTGGGCATTTCAATGCAAAATAGTCACAAACACAAAGACAGCGAGACCAACTCAACCAAATCTTCTAGTTCCAGACCAGAGATCCTTACTATGGGAACTACCTGTTTCACAGCTACAAATGTTGTTCCCAAACCTCAAAAGTTTTCTGGGAATTTCTCTAACCTCTGTGATAACGCTCTGTGTCTGGGGTTCCTCAATTTTAGTTCCCCCTTCTCTCACTCCAACTTGGGTAGCAGAGTAAAGTTGACATCTTTTTCAATGTCTAGGGTAACCCATTTGCAGGTTTCGCAAGATGCACTCACACCCACTGAAGAATCAGTGTCTTCCTCTTCTCGTGTAATCGGAGAACATGACTTGCTCATTGTGGGTCCCGGGGTTCTTGGTCGTTTGGTAGCTCAAAAATGGCGAGAGGTATTGTTTCATTTTCTTTCTTTCTTTATTTGTGTATCTATTAATTATGTAATGTTAGCTCATGCTAATTTTTATTTGTAAACATAGCATTAGGACAATTGTGTAACATCAACATCAACATCAAAAACACCTTTATCCCAAATTGTGTAACGTTGAGAGTTTTTTTTTTTTAACTTTTTTCTTCTTTACATTTGTTATGATTTATTGGCATTGTTATTATAAGTATTCAGTAGCTTCTACCTCTATGTATGCAAGCAGGAAATTCCAGGTTGTCAAGTTTATGGACAGACTATGACCACTAATCATCACAATGAGTTGATTCAAATGGGTATTAATCCGTCTTTGAACTGGACAGAAGCTACTCACAAATTTCCAAATGTCATTTATTGTGCTCCACCTTCCCGGACCCCTGACTATGCTGGTAACGTTAGGTGAGAAATGTTAAGAGTTAATTCCATCATTTTGTATATGTTAGTGAAAGGACAAAAGGGCATGACAAAATGCTAATGAATTTGTTCCAGGACTTGGTTATGTGTAATGTGTTAGTTTGGTTATTTCTAGTCTTTTAGTCGTCCAAGTTATGCTAATGAACACCTTTGTACTGACTAACCTCTTGAGGTGTATACTTCACTCTGCAAACCACTCCCCATTAAACCCTGACTAGCGAGGGTAAGGGTGAGACCAATCCTTGTATACAGCTTTACTTTTACATATTTACAAAGAAACTAATATCCAGAGTTGAAGTCATGATCTTTCAGTCACAAAGGAGCAGCTTGACCACTGCTCCAGGCTTGCCCTCTCACACTTCACTCTACAAACAGTTTCTAAAATCCAACAAGTAAGTTGAATTTGCATTGATATTTGTTATGGGGTTTTGATGTTTCCATGTTGGTTAAATATCATGGATAAGGTTTTAAGAACACCAATATGTATTTTCATTGCAAATCTTTTTAATATGATGGTTGTACTATATCTTAAAATTACATGAATAAACACTATATCATTTATAGAAGATTGTGAACATTATCGTGTAACATAGCTTCAAAAGATATCATTCATGCTAGAAACTTTTTTACCCAGAATGCTCCTGAATTCTGCTTAATGAACCCCTGAAACTTGATAATTCTGGCATTGCACATATGTTAAATCTATATTTTTGTTCTAAATTATTTTTTTTTTCTTTTGTGCTATGTGCTTCATTATGTCAATTGAACTATTGGGTTTTGACCCAAATTCCTCTTTTGATAAATAGAGATTGTTTCCCATTTACTAAAATAATCATATTTTGAATTGTTGTTAATGTTAAGATTATGGAAGATGTAAGAGATTTGATCTAATAGGAAGCTAAGAAAATTCTTATCTTGATAAGGATAGAGAGTGAGAGTGATCGATTGCCATGTAAATTGTAGTGGGATATAAATACTTGTTTTGTAGTGATCATGTCAAATTTGTTCATGATTTGTTTATGATGATTTTCCCTAATTATTATTATTTATCAATGAATGTGAAGAAGGGGATGGGGTTTTCCCAAACACTGACAAACCCTAAAAAAAGTACACATTGAATTGAATATTGCTAGATAAAGAACAATCATGAATATTATTGTAGTATTTCTCTGATTACTTAAGTGACTCACTCACATATAGAATTTTGGTATTCATCATAGATAATTATCTATCAACATCTTATCAGTTTTTAAGTTTAAAAGGTGTACCCAAGGAATAAGATATACTAAAACAAAAACATGATGTGGGAAGGATGTACTATTAATTGCATGCCATCCCAGAATCTTCAATCTTTATGAAGAAGTTGATCGATTGGTTGCATGCTTACTTAAATCTTGTTCAGAGGACGGACAAGGGCATCCAATTTAATGTATACCATTTAAACGTTTTGCTTTTGATGGTTTACATCATCTTCGTATAATAATATTGTACTGGTTGTTCAGATCAACTAGGATGGTCTAAGACTGCTTCATTCATACAAAGAAAATGATATTTACTTGTTGAAAGGAAAATATGAGTAGTATAGTAGTTGTATTATTAACACATGTTCATATGGATCGTCAACCAATCAGGCTAGCTGCGTTAAGCTGGAATGGTGAAGGTTCTTTCTTATTTACATCAAGCAGTGCTCCATATGATTGTAATGATAATGGACCATGTGATGAGGTGAGTCATAAATCCAAACTGTCATATTGTTTTGCTCTTAGTCACCTTTTTTTCTTTGTTTTGATGTTAATTGAGGAGATAATTCCAGTCTACATGATACAAGCTTCTTATTTCAAATAATAGTATAATGCACAAAATTGTTTTAATTGCTTAACTTATGCAGTTGCATTACTTCTATTCCTATGTATCTTGATCACATTTATGAACTTGAAGGGTCAGATTTTCCCTTTCTGTGGAGCATAGATGTATGTTGATTTATCCTAATGGGATATACTTTATTTTAGGATACTCCAGTTGTGCCAATTGGGAGGAACCCCAGGATTGATGTCCTTCTAAAAGCTGAAAATGTGGTACTGGAGTTTGGTGGTTGTGTTCAAAGATTGGCAGGACTTTATATATCCTTTATGGGATTTAAATTATTAGATGCAAGAATTTTTTAATCTGAGTGATAATTGCTGTTATGCTTTTATCTCATGGCAACCTTGACGAATTCCACAAAGCAGATAGAGGCGCCCACAATTATTACTTAGAAAAGGGCATTGTTGATAGCCGTCCTGATCACATCCTGAATCTGATACATTATGATGTAAGAATGCCATTTCATCTTATTATTTCTGTATTTACTTTACTTAATTTTCCTATAATTTCTTTATAATACTATTGACCTATTGAAGTTTATTCTGTTGGTAAGAAATAAAGATAGCTCGATAATGAGAAAAAGGGGAGGATAGCTAATGAGCTTCAATTAATAAACTTAGTCAGCCAATTTAACTGATTTTTTCAAGAAATGTGGACTTTGCAACTAGAAACAGATTATATCCATTTAAAACTGTTAGTGGTTTAAATATATTTAAATGAACGAAACAGAAAACAGAACATGGAATGTGCTGAACTGGAGGAAACTGAGCAAGCACAAAAAACCAGTATGATGCAGAGGCAAACTGAAAATAAGTCAAAAGCTTAGTTCGTCGTTGGATTAGCTTATTTTGTGTTTAGAAAAGCTTATAATAAAAATGTTGCAAAGAGAACTTTTAGCTGAAAAGGTTTTTTTTTTTAGGGTTATCAAGCATGGGCATAAAGAATAAAGTTATCAAGCTAAAATGTAAGCATTTGGAATTTAAGTAGCAATATAATAGTAACATTCTGTACTAGTTTGACCCTGAAATTAGGACCTCCGTCATTCCACTTATCTATTGGGATTTTTACTGGTTAATTAATGTTCTCTTAATCCACCATAGCCTCTCCAATAGTGTTTGGATACGGTTTCAGGGCAGTGTGATGTTCTCAATATTTGATGCTTTAAGTTGTCTGAACTTAGCTCTTGAGCTTGCTCATCTCATGCTTCAAGGAATTTCTAGAAAAGTGTTACTTTGACTGCCCCTTAGCATTCTTACCACCCAACAAGAGCATTGGAGCTTGTCAAATTTCTGTATTTTGGAGCTTCTTGAGATTACCCAACTTATAGTACGAGGTCACTTGTGTTATTTACAGATATACTTGAATGCTTCTAGCTTTGGTTTGTGAAATTTGAGTTTTTTTGTTTTTGTTTTTTTAAATTATAAAAATTAGCCTTCTTGGCTTTGAGCATGCATAGTGCAAGGCTCAATTAAACACTAGTAAACGCTTTCGGAAAATGAAAACAATGTTTATGGTCACCACATTATTTAAAAACTAGGTTCTGTAGAAACCTTGGGCTACCATATTCTAGTTGAGGTTGTCCCCTCTGTTTGCTTTCTCAATTTTAATCCTGCCAATTCTTTATGAAGTCTGTATTTCATGCTGAGACATATATTACTTCCTTTCAATACTCCTTTGATATTTTCTCCTATACTTTGCATTCTTTAGCCTATTTCAGTATTTCTACTCATTTAGTAGTGGTGATTATGATAAGGTTAAAAATGGTGCTCATTTTGACATACTTCCACACCAGGATGCAGCTTCCCTCTCAGTTGCAATCTTGAAGGAAAAATTCCGTGGACAGATTTTCTTGGGTTGTGATAATCATCCTTTGTCTAGGTTAGGTGCTTTTTCTTTAACTTGTCAAATGGCATTCTTATCCTCTGATTATTCTTGTAGTATTTCTATTTAAAGTTCTGATGCCAATCTAACAGATTGTTCTGATCTCTCTTTTTTTTTTTTTTTTTTGGTAAAGAACAATCTTACACTCCTCGCATGTTTGCAGGCAAGAAATGATGGATCTAGTTAATAAAAGTGGGAAATTCAGCAAGATTTTTGATAAATTTACTGGTGAGTTTTATGTATCATAGTGAAACTTGATGTTGGGCCACACACCTGATGGGAGGATGTTGGAAATATTCAAGTGTGAGTGGTGTGAAACATTGGTTAGACATAGACCAAATGAGGATCATATAAGTGCAAAAGATCCATTGATCTATAGCCAATGAGTTTTGGGTTGAGATTTGATGTCAATCCTGTGATTTTTATTTTGGCCAATTTGTCAAGGTATCCTTTGCTATGGTTTTTGGAAGCCCTCACACCATTCCAACAAAACTTAATATCTAATGGACTGAGGGTCTACTGTCATTACTTTATTATGAATTGAGTTGATCTCTGATGTTATCATGTTCACTTGTCTTGTTTATGTATTACTTTTGATTTTAAAAGAATAATTATTTTTTATCTTTACCTTTATAGGAACTGATGGGCCTCTAGGTAAGAGATTAAACAACACAAGAACCCGCCAGGTAGCTGGCTGGGAGCCTAAGTACCCTAGCTTTGCTAGTTTTCTGGAGAGCATCTGACAGATTCCTGAGTGTATCTTTGCTGTTGACTCTGATTTATGCGGAAAATGCAATACAGTGGTGCCTTAGGGAATGTTTGCTGTAGATGGAAGAGCTCATACACGCCTGAACTCTGAAGTGTGTACATTTTCCTATTTCTTCATATTTGACGTTGTTTAGAAGGGTGATCACTTATTGAATTGTCTTAAAATTTGGTGATTTAACCACTTTCATGTTGCATGCGTACTATAGATGTAACAAGTTAGCACTTAGCACTCATTTTTTTGTGAATGACAGATTCTTGCGTAGGAACTTCCTACATGAGGCATTCAAATCAGAATTTGAGATGTGTAATGTTACATGGGACATGTTAGAAAATATTGGTCTTAGAATACAAATGTTGATTTGAATGCTTAAGAAGTTCTTACCAAAGAATTTCTCTATGGGAAACATCATCGAGTGAAAATTATTTGTTGGTTGATTAATGCATTAATTCTGAAGTAATCGAATGACGTATTTTAATAATATTATAATTCCCCAATCTGTAGAAGAGAAAGCAGTAAGTCAGGGATATTTACAATAAAACCGACTCCCATAGGGCTATAGAGAGAGAAACTGTTAACCCAACCTGCTATGCCACACATTCATATCTAGCATGTGGACAGTCCCACTATTGTTCATTCACGCCACCATGGAGAGAAAAATGCATTGCAAGTTTAACTGGGCATCCAACTTATGCTATCATTCTTATTGATATTCTAGTAACATTGATTGCAACAAATTCCAAGCAATATGAAATGATAAAAAGAACCGTAAATTAGAACCATTCGCCAAAAATTATATCCTGATTGCAGGAAACGTGTACATCTCAATACAGAAGCAAATACACTCCTTCATTTGCCTTAATAGAAATTGTTTCTTTCACCCTATCCTAAAATGAATATGATCAACTCCCGAGGGTAGTTCAGTTGGCAACTTAGCTTTCAAGGGTTTGCTTGAGTTAGGGGTTCAAACTCTGTCTTAAGTAAATTCTTGAAAAATCTTTGGGGGCCAGAGGATGTGTTTCCATCCTCAAATGGAGGATTAGTCTCATCCTTCCTCCGGTAGCGAATCTCAATACACTCGTTGTTCCAATGAGGAGTTAGCCTACAGGACCGTATCCCGAGGGCAAAGTGACCGGAGGAGGTTGAATGAAGATACTTCCAGATTATACCAAAAAAAATATATATATATATATGATCACCTACTATAAAAAGGTCACTGCCATGTTGCCCGTGCTGCTCATGCCACTTTAAAGCTCACTGACAATTGCTGATAGTACTTATTTTGCTGCTTAAAAAATACGAAATAAATTTCATTGCAAAATTTTAAAACTAATTTATCTACAGTAAGAACATGTGTAAAAGAAATACAACAAAACGAGTCATACCATGTCTGACACACACAGAGAGAGACTTTACTCGGTGCTACCTCAAAATGACTTGTCTTATAGTAAATGTATCACTAGTTTGTTTTAGTTGAGGTCAATTTCTTTGAAGAGCGGCCATTGCTGCTTAGATCGTCTGTATAGTCATTGAAAACAAGCAAAAAGTTCCTTAAATTTAGTCCCCATTTTTTCTTATAATCCTATTCAGTGTCCACATTTTGGTGAAAGTTAAATTGTGAAAGTTTCTTCATGAAGAAATTCTGTTCAGACTGGGGTTATATGAACCCAGCATCTAATTTGATGCGTTATCTAGTAGCAGTTTTAAGTCTCAAGTTTTTATTTGAGATTATGTGATTAGTCTCACCGCCCTTAACTCACTAACATCAATTTCTTTGTGTAGATTACAATAAATTTAAACTTTTTTCTTTAAATTATATTATAATTATGGTTACGGAATAAAAATTTACAATGTTGCTATTTAATGTGTTTTGCTTTATTTAATTTACAATGTTCTCTTCATAGTTGCATGTAGCTAGGTTGATTCTTACTTGCATCCACTTCATCCCAGATGACACGCACGCGTGAATAGTAGGTGACCTCGCTGCTTAACCGTTGAGAGGCTCAATTTGAGATGATAAATTCGCTATATAATTCCACTCAATACCGATCCTTAATTTCCTCCCACAAGTTCTTTGCATTGTCAAAGTAATGAACGAAAGGTTCTGTTGGCGCACGAGAAATCTCTACTATGATTGTACCAGCGAAAGTGTGTTAATAAATAAACTTGATTTTCTTCACAAAAATAAAAAATAAAAAATAAAAAAAATAAACTTGATTTAGTTTGTGGTCTATTGGGCTTAGTATACATTTAGCTCAACATCTAGAAATATTCAAGAGTTATCTAGCCCAAATTCTAGAATAATCAACTCTAGATGTCTCCGTCAAAATATCTAGAGAATAGTTGTATCTAGAAACCACCATCATAAATATTTAGGCTAGGAGATTATAGAAAATTCTAGAGAATAATTTGTAGTCCTTAGATGAGAATTGTGTTGGCACAATCCTAGCCATTGGTTAAGGAGATGCCACTAGTATAAATAGGTGTGTCCTCCATCATTTTGTAACAAGCCAAAACAAGCCAAAAAGAAAAAGAGTTGTGTAGTAATAAAAGTGTTCTCTTCCTCCATATCTTTCTATAACCTTTACTTTTCTCAAATATCCTCCTCCCAACAAAGTGATATTAGAGCCTTAAGATCCTTTCTAGAGAAATGGCAAGTAGCAACATGGTTCCTTTCCAAGTCCCTATGCTCACCAAGAGCAACTATGATAATTGGAGCATCAAGATGAAGGCCCTCCTTGGATCACAAGATGTGTGAGAAATGGTAGAGAAAGGCTACGATGAGCCACAAGAAGGAGTTACTCTATCCCAAGCTCAAAGGGATAGCTTGAAGGATTCAAGAAAGAGAGACAAGAAAGCTCTCTATCTCATCTATCAAGGATTGGATGAAGATGCTTTTGAGAAGATTTCGGAGGCAGCCATCGCAAAAAAAGCATGGGAGAAGCTACAAACATCTTACAAGGGTACTGAGCCGGTCAAGAAGGTACGTCTTCAAACTCTAAGAAGTGAGTTTGAAACTTTACACATGAAAGATGCCGAAAGTATCTCCGATTATTTTTCTAGAGTCTTGACGGTGACTATTCAATTAAAAAGAAATGGTGAAAAGATAGATGATGTAAAATTATGGAGAAAAGTTTGCGATCTTTAGATTCGAAATTCGATCATATTGTCACTGTCAAAGAAGAAACAAAAGATTTGGAAGCCATGACAATAGAGAAACTTTTGGGCTCTTTACAAGCATATGAGGAGAAGCAAAAGAAGAAGCAAGGGGTTGGTGAACAATTACTCAAAACACAACTCAACTTCAAAGAAAAGGAAGAAGACTTTGGCAACACAAGAGGACGAGGAGGATATCCTGGTCGAGGAAGAGATCGTGGACGTGAAAGAGTAGGCTTCAACAACTATGCCAATGAAGATCGAAGAGAGAGCTCAACAAGAGGTCGTGGAAAAGGTGGCTCGCAACCAAGACGTGACAAGTCTCAAATCAAATGCTACAGCTGTCAAAGGTTCGACCATTATGCTTATGAATGTAGAGCTCCTACAAGAAAATTTGAGAAGAAGGCGAACTATGTGGAGGAAAGGAGTCAAGAAGATGGCATGATGCGTAAAATCGGCAAGTGCACCGATCGTACCAAGTAATAAAGAGTGAGTAGAGTATCGTCTGCACGAGGATTGAGGCACCTAAGTTGTTATAACTATTCCTCTCTTGTTGGATTAATCAAAATAGGTTGAGAGCAATTGTGGTTTATAAAATAAACTAAAAAAATTAAAGGAAAAATGTAAATGATTCCAAAAGTGCTTTCAGAAAACAAAAGATTAAGGATGGAGAAAATATTTGAGAAAATATTGCGGTAAAGAGAAACAAACACCTTTCTGATCCCCACCTTGCAACTTAGATTACGTTTACATTTACCTATTCAATCGATCGAACAATTCATCATCTTTTATATGATTAGTTAAGCCCTAATCCCTTAGTGATCTTAACCTTGTCAACTCTATTAGAATCCTAATCCCTTAGAAATCCCTTTTCGAGTTAACCCTTAGAATCAATGAACCTTTAACGTTCGCTGTTCATGTAGCCTATCCCTAGTGCATACATGAACAGTTATCTTATTCTTTGTCAGGAATTAGAATTCCAACATCCCTATCGAAAACCCTAACCCTCGCAATCCTACTAGATTGATAAGTTCCAATAGAATTATAAAATGAAGAACAAGAAAAGATAAACTCAATTAAAATAGATAAACATAAATTTCAGCCAAGGTACAAGGGGTTCACATCAAGGGTTGTGACCCTTACCAGAATGATAAAACTAGCCAGACATGTTCATGTCTGACAAAATAATAGTAAAAGAAAATAGCATTTAAAACCTAGAAGAGAAAAGAAAGATGAAGCTCTTCCGTCTTGATGATCGAATCCTTGAATCTCCAAGAAGCTCCAAGGAATCTCCACTCTCTTTGTTGTTTTTCTCTTCTTGATTGTCCAAAAGTTCCTTCTTCTTCTGTTTCTGATCCTTTTATTAGGTTTTGGGAAAATCTGTTTTCACTTGCACTCCAATTGGGCCTTATTTTGGCTGATTCGCAGTAAAAATTATATCGCCCACGCACGGGGCGCCAAGCCCGGCGCCCCAAACTTGGGAGAAACAGAAGCTGAATCCGTCAACGGCGCCCCGGGCGCCAACTCTGGAGTGTCGTGCGCCACCTCCTGCGCTCCGGGCGCCAGGTTGGCGCGCCGTGCTCCACCTCCTGCGCGACGTGCCCGGCCGAAACAGAAGCAAATAGTCGCTTTGGCGCCCCGTGCTCCAGGTACCGCGCCCCGTGCGCCAACCTCCGCGCGTCGTGCGCCAGCGAGAAATTTGGTTTCTCCGTTTTTGCTCCTTTTTGCAGCGTTTCCTGCTATTTAACATATAACTTGAGTGAGAGCATGATTGAGAAGGAATAATCAATATTTCTTGCATTTAATGACTATTTTCACACATTTATGATTAATTCCTTGCTTCTTTTAAGTTAGAAAACATTATCTGCTAGACTCACATCATGGCACTCTGTTGATGGTACACAATGACAATGTAGGAGAACAAGAGAATACATGGTATCTAGACACAGAATCAAGCAATTCAGAATTAGAATTCGACATTCAAAATGAATTGGAGTCAGAGAAATCAGAGACTAAGGAAGAAGAAGAAGAACATCAAGAAGAAACTGAAGTTGAAACTGAAGTTGAAACTGAAGTTGATAATATTGATGATATGGAAAAAGATACAGAAGCTGCTGAGTGGATAAATAAATTCGATTTGATGAAAAAACATGAAGAAAAAAAGGAGGAGAAGGTGAC